CAGCCACCACTGCCTTAGATGACCGAGGCAGGGCCTCTCAAGTGTGCACATGCTACTCTCTTGTCATTAACCCTGCGTACCCAGAGAGACCCCTGCCAGCTTCGCTCACTAGTGTCCCAGTGAAGAGCGGGTTGGTTATAGTAAGTCTCACTCCATCGGTGCACGTCCTACAATATTCCACGTGACACAGATACACATAAGGCCAGTGAAGAGCGGGTTGGTTATAGTAAGTCTCACTCCATCAGTGCACGTCTTAGAATATTCCACGTGACACAGATACACATAAGGCCCTTCCGCTGCAGGGAGGGGCACTCCGGCATGCCTGTGCAGCTGTGCCGCTTCTGAGCCTGAAAGAGCGGCTCTCAGACAAATGGTGGTTGTTCAGAGTCGGCATCTTGCAGATACTTTCTCAGCAGCGTATGAAGTGATTCTGTCACTTTAAAGAAAACAACTGACAGCATTTTTTAATGATAAAATTTGAAGTTTCAAGTAAGAATTACAATTTTGGAAAACTAGTGTCTGTCTCATTGACTGTCTAATTCCCCTGGTATTACAGAACTAAAGACTGCTGAGGTGTTCAGTGTTGGTAATAACAAATCTTACCTTTTGGTATTTGTGTCATTGAAGCAGGTTAATGTTTGGGAGAGCTTGTGCAGCTCAGTCACTGTTTGCCCAAGGACCAGCCAGCACAGGATGTTACAAAATCTTCCCAGATAACTTGGTGGGAAAGCCACCAAGTTATCTGTATGAGGCTGGGTTTCCTTTGTGTACATCAACCAAGACAGCATATCACACCAGATGAGCAGAAGCAGCTCGGAGAACTTCAGTGTCTTGTTAGGTCAGACACTAAAGAGATTTGCAGAAATGTGAGACAGTGATCCTGTAGGCACTAAACGTTGTTTTGGAAAAAAAGTTATTTTTTCATAATACGTTCCTTATTTAGCAAGTAGTAGGTTTAATTACATTCTTAATTTTAATTACTAATGCAGTGTAATTATCAATAGAGAAAACCTACCAAAGTGAAAACTCTCTGGTGTCCAGGACAGATTTTAAGAGTAAAGGGATCCGGAAGCCTCAGTTGAGAAGCCCTGGTGGTGCGATGGGTAGGGCACTTTGCTGCCGACTACTAACCAAAACGTCAGTGCTTTGCACTCATCAGTTGCTCCCACACGAGAAAGATGTGGTAGTCTGATTCTGTCAAGATCCACAGCCTTGGAAACCCTATGGGGCAGACCCTACCGTGCTGTAGGATCACTATGAGTTGAAGTCAACTCAGTGGCACTGGGTTTGGTTTTTCTAGTTTGAGATCACAGTGGAGAGCTGCCGTCTGCATCTCGATAGGGGAGTGTGTTACACAGCTTGCCAGCACACGTCCATGTACTTGAATCTGTTCACTTCGTCCTGTATAATCTGGCCTTCAAAGACTATAAACAAATGCTGAATCGGTTATGGATGAAGTGTAGCAAGGTCTGTTACTCACTTGGAAATACAGCAAACAAGATGGACAGAGAGAACCAGGGTAAAGCAAGTAGCACAAAATGTGACTTACAGAATCACAGTGTTGGCTATTCAAAACTTGTCTTTGTATTTGAAATTTTTCGTAATAAAATACTGGAGAAACACAGCTCACATAAGCAGATGTTTTTATAGGTGACCTTTACTGGCGCTCTCCCGTCTTGTCCTAGTTCTCTGCATCTTTTGTCACGAGTGGGAAATTCATTCAGATGCCTCGCCCTCTTCTGCTCAGATGAGCTCAGGGTGTGTGTTTTTTTTTTTTGAGGTCCTCCCTTCTCGGCAGATCAGAAATTGGAAATGCTTGTCCCCCTCAGCGTCGTGTGAGTGCTGGCTCTTCTGCCTGATGTTCTGCCCTCCAGCAGTCCTTTCTGCCTGGGCTCTCTGGTTCAGGTCCCCTCATGCACACATACATGTACATGCATGTGGTACCCAATGCCACAGAACCCCATGTGGTGCGTACAGGTGACCAGTGCCACACCTCAGTTGGGCCCTTTGCTCTTAGAGGTCGCCCAGACTGTCCCATGAGCAGTGGCTGAGAGAAAGAAAGTGGGGGTGGGGGGTTGCAGCTCAGGCCCAAAGCCCCCTTCTGCTTAGGCCCCTCAAGTCCTGACTGTCTTGGTGATTTTCCAGTGTCTTAAAACAGAGGTGTGTGAGAGAGGGAGGAAGGGAAGGAAAGAGCTGGCGTCCTTGGCTGGTCTTCACAGGAAAGCTCCTCTGAAACCAGCAATGTGCCATCACAGTGTCCAGCCCAAGATGGGGGTTCTCCTTGAACTTGGAAGGGCCTCCAAAGCCTGCCTTGATTGCACTGGAACACCTGCCGTGTGCATTCTGAGATGAGCTGCAGCAGGGTTACTGGGAGGACGGTGACAGTGGGTAGTGGCTTTCTGAAAACCCCACTTCCCTTGCTGTTGTTCCTATCAGGCCCTCGTAAAAAGTAGCATCCCATTCCCCTGGAGCGCTTTGCGTGGAAGTTGTGCCAGTAGGCACGAGTCCTTTCCTCTGTAGGCTGTGTGACACAGTGTGGGTGGGGACAGACTGAGGCCAGCAGTTGTCTGTGTCATGCTAAGTCAGAGGACTGGGCTCTCTGCTCTCGTTACAGCCGTGGTCTGGCTGGAACAAAAGCCAGGGGGCTCTAAAGCAGTTGCGTGTTAGTGCACCGGGAACAGCTGCTCTGGTGGCAAAGGCTGGGCTTTTAGTCTGCCCTGGGAACTGGGTCAGCAGACATGAGAGTGGGCAGGGAGGTCTATGTGCTCCAGTTCCCTCCTGGCTGTGCTCTGTGTTCTGTCCTGTGCTCAGATCGCTGCACTTGTCCCAGCGAGCAGCTGTCACATCACTGAAGACAGGCTGATGATGCTTCACTGAAAGGCTGCCTGGTATCTGAAGAAGGATGGTGCCGGCCTTGTGGCTGATGAGAGCCACATCTGTGCAGAGCAGGGCTGTGGGCTGCCTGGGAGGGCTCTGTGTGAGTCTGATGGGTGAGAATCACTGCCCATCCCCGTCCTCTTGTCCTGGAGGCAGATGCGTGGCAGCTGGCATTGCCGTGGAGAGCGCACCGTGCCCTGTCCAGCAGCAAGGCTAGGTCTGGGCAGTTCTTTGTGGCGAATCTCGGCTAACTCTGGGTTGGAGTTTCTTCCTGCAAACGCTCCTTCCCTGCGCATCTTCAACTGCAGCACCAGTGTTGATGCCTCTGGTCTGTGCCAGGGTTTGATGTGGCTTTGTCCTCTTCCCGCCCCACTGAGTGATAACAAGACACTTTCATCCAAGAGTGCAGAGGGTGGCTTCCTAAGCACATGGGCTCACGTGCCACTACCCAGGTGGAGATCGGAAGGTCTCTGGCACCTCCTGAGGTTTCTGCAAGATCTTCTCAGACTGGGTCCCGTCCCCTGGGAGGATCACTGTTACGATTCTGTATTGATTCATTTCCTCTGACGTGAAGTTTCCTGTAATGGAATCATTATGGAGATATTCTTGTCAGGTGTCTTTGATTCTCCAGAAACTATGAGCTCCTTCCACACTGCTGCGTGTGTCAGTACTGTGTGGCCATGTCTACATGGGACTCTTCTAGGGCTGATTTACACGTTTACCTTTTGATGGGCAGCTGAGTTACTTCATTTTTTGACTCTTCTGAACAAAACTGCTATAGATGTGTTTTTACCAGTCTGAGAACAAATGCACTCACTCTGCTTATCAGAAACTGTCATACAGCCGCCCCCCCCCCCCCAGTGGGTGTCTCTTAACTGGAGCATCTCCTGTGATCACACAGGGCAGCCGGAGGCCTCAGGAGGTTGGTGCTGCCCCCAGGTGTTTGGTGGCCAAAGCATCCTTGGGGCTCTCCCAAGAGTTGGTGTGATGTCTCATCCCAGGTGGTGGCAGCGTGTGTGGTGTGCTGCACACCCTCCCTGGTCCAGCACAGGCAGGTGGGAGCTGTGTGTGGAGGGACGCAGTCTGATTAGCACATGGAACATGAGTGGAGCTGTCTGCCAACGGTTTTCCTGGAGAACGTTCTGGAAAAGGAAGTCTGCTGATGAGGGAAAGAGCATGTATTTCCAATGGCAATACCTCCTCCTGTTGGAGACGAGGTGAATCACGTGATGCCACATGCATCTGCGCTCGGGGGTGTGTGTGCTTAATACTTGTGACAGAGGGCGGGGTGAACCTAGAGCACTTTTCCCCAGTGAGCAGGAGGGAGAGACCCTCGCCACTGGCATCTCTGTGCCGAATCAGGCCCAACTAGCAGTGGGGCGAAGTGAGCAGTGCTGATGAGAATCGTAGACACCTGAGACTAAGGCCCATGGGATTGGTTCTGGACACAGGGAGAAAGCCCCTGGGGCCCCCCAAGTCTGGGGTGTCAGAGAACTGAGCCAGTGCAGATGGTGCCACTCCCCCAAGAGGAGACCCTGTGCTCAGTGATGTGGCACCTTCTCGCTAGTTCTGTCACAGCAAGAGGACAGCTCATGGGAGTCAGATCCCATACCGTCCTCTGACCCTAGGACCACCCCTCCCTCCACGGCACTGTGCCCTGTCTTCACCACATTCAGGTCTTGTGGTCTCTACACCTGACCTGGAGCTCGCTGAGAGAGCATGAAGCATGTCTCGGGCATGGCCCACTTGTGTGCTGGCACTGGTGGGTCCCACATGCCCCCTAACCCTCTCTGGAGTGGTTCCTATCTCCCGGGCTTTGCAGACTTAGTTCGTTAGCAGTGATTTTCCGAGAACCCTTAAGAAACAGGAGGGAAGCAGGGAGCAGTGGAGAGGTCAGACTGAGCCATCGCCCCCAGCTTCAGGAGGGTCCCACAAAGCACAGTCAGTTCTCCCCCCAGCGCCCTGGCAAGCGGAGGGGGACATGCAGTTGTCCAAGCCTGGAGCAGGAGGGAGAGTTCATTTGCCAAACGAGACTGCTTTTCCTGGGATGAAATCACAGGAGACTTGAGCATTCTGAGAACTGGATTTGGGGGTCATGCCTGAAGCTGCCCTTTCTTTTCCAGGATAAAGATAAAGTTTCTCTGACCAAGACCCCAAAGCTGGATCGGAGCGATGGCGGGAAGGAGCTGAGAGAGCGCTCCAAGCGCAAGCTGCCCTTCACTGTGGGCACCAATGGAGAGCAGAGGGACTCGGATACAGGTAGGTGCCTTGGGGCTACGCACTAATCCTGGTGGGTCTCCGTGGACCACAGCGCTGCCCCAGGTTGCGGTGGCTACAAGGTTCATAGCACCTGTGCCCTGCACCTTATCCAGCCTTTCCCTGCTCCTTTTCCTGCCTTTCTGTCATCCTGTCACCTGACTTCTTCAGATTATTGCCCACCCCATCCTATTTGCCTGACTCAGAACTCCTGGAAGAGGCCTGGGGTGAACCCCGGAAAAGACGTGGAGCAGGACTCCTGGCCCTTTCTGCCACTCCCACGTTGTGTAGCAGCCATGCTGAGGCGTTCTGTGGAGATGGCCAGAGATTGAGCATTGCTCGTCAGCGTATGAGCTACGGCCAAACCACCCAGCACTTTGTCCTCTCCTGACACTTGGGGCAAGAGGGGCACCTCAGACCAGAGGCTTCTCACACAAGCCAAGGGGAAAGAGGGCAGGAGACGTGGACAGTGCCCTAGACACACAAGGGAACCTACTTGTATGTGTCTAGTATAGGGGCAGGACCTGGGTATGTGCCCTTCTGAAGCTCCAGCCCTGGTGCTGTTGGGTGCTAGTTTGTGTGAACAAAACCTAGCCATTTGTGCTCAGAGGGAGACAGGTGGCTGGCTGACATAAGCACACATCAGCCGAGTCCTCCAGCCTGTGGGGACCTGAGGCTTCAGTGCGGTTGGCTGGGGGGTGACTGACACAGACTCCTCCCTGAGTGGCTCTCTCGGTGGCAAGGGCTGGGTCCCACTGAGTACCACATCCCCTCCAACCCACACTTCTCCCCACAGGCCCTCCCAGCCAGCTATTGGTCTTTGCCCTGCCTTGTTGCTGGGTCCTTAGACACCAGGACGGCCACGTAGGACCAGGGCTAGAGGTCGTGTCTGTTGGTTCGCATCAGAGGGGACCCAGAGGAGATTCTGGCAGGACTTAGGGTCTGGAGAAGCAGTGGCAACACTTGGGTCAAGCTCGGGGGTGTCCACAGGACAGGGTGCTGCCGCCGATGGCCCACTGCCCTCCCACAGCAGACTCTCCACTGGCCAGGCCTCACCCTCAGAAGGCCCTTGTGGGGAAGTGCGGGGGCCTGCTGGCCAGGCTTAGGTCCTTCTGGAATGTCTGAGTGAGAGTGGGGCTGCCTCACAGGCTGCGTTTACACAGTGGTGGCTCTGGTCCTCGACCTCATTGTGTTCGGGCTAGGAAGGCTATTGGGGCTAGACCTTGCTCAGGAGAGGGGAGGAGCTAAGCAGGTGAACTTCCACTGCGGGGCAGCCAGGACCCATGGTGGATGGGCACCCCTTCTGGGCCCAGAGCCGTGATGTGCCCCTATCAAGATGACGGCCTGGGAAACCCTGTGGGGAAGTCCTGTCCTGACACGTGGGGTCAGCATGAGTGGCAACCAGACTGACAACACACGAGCTAAACTGAGTTTTACAGGCAAGTGACATTGTGCGGTCTCAGCTGTTTCTCGGGAGTCAGAGTGTGGGTGCCCAGCTTCCGGGGCTGTGGGAGGTGTTGCTTCCCAGTCAGTCTGGTGGCCTGTGCTGGAGTTGCAATAGCACGCACCGCCATGACAAAGCTCATGACGGCTCCGTGCTCAGCCACTGTTGTCCTGCTCCACCTGACAGTGGGGGGCTCCTCCAGAGGCCCTGGTGCTTCTGTGTTCTCGTGGGTCTGTTCATGATCACAGGCCTTGTCACTGGGCCCACTGGCGAAAGGCTGCCACACGCAGGGCCGCTGACCTGATCAGTCGGCTGCGCGGAGCAGTGGACCAGGATTTCCCAGCCTTTGAGTTGCTCTCTGCAACGTGGGCCTGTGAAGGCAGGGAGGAGGCACCATGAGGTAGGAGAAAGAAACAGTAGTTTCCTAGGCAGTGATGACTTTATAGAAACCTAATACAAGAGAAATAAAGTATTTGCCCTCTTCTGTGTTACCCTTCTAGGGGTGGATTTTAACATACAACTTTCTTGCAAAGAAACAAACCAGATCCCTCAGCAAGGGGATTCTGAAGGCCACAGGTGGCAGCAGTGCTTGTCCTAACTGGTTGCTGTTGACAGTGACGCATGACAGACACCCCACGTGCTGCAGAGTGGAACTGCCCCACAGGGTCTTCTTGGCTGTCATCTTAAGCAGGTTACAGGGCCTTTCTCCTGCAGAGGTGTTGGGTAGATTCAAAGCACCAACCTTTGAGTGAGCAGCCCGAGCATACATTGTTGGCACCAACTGCTCTACTAGTCACTTGTGTTTTTAACAGGGGTCTCCTAAAACCAACTCTTCTTTGACCCCCTAAGATTGCTTTGTGCCTGGACCCCCTGCTGCCAGGCAGTGGGCCCCTGGCGTCCTTGGCTGATTGTCGTTGCTGGTTGCTGTGGGGCCAGTGCTGACTGCTGGTGACGTCTCGTGTAACGAGATGTTGGCATTTAGCAGAACGCTGGTGGTCCCATGCCATCTTCGCAATGAGTGGCGTGGTCGAGTGCGTGTGTGGTCACCGTGGTGGTCCATCTCATGGAGGGACACCCTCGTTTTTGCTGACCCTCCACTTTACCAAACACGATGTCCTTTCCTAGTGGTTGGGTCTCCTGATGACCTGCCTGAAATTCATGAGATGGAGTCTCACTGCCCTCATTCTGAGGAAGATGTTCTGGTTGTATTTCCTGAGACGACTGGTTTATTCTGGCAGCACAGTTCAAATCACAATCGGTCTTCTGTCTTCATTGTCCAGTTTTCACATGCATGAGAAGACTGAAAAGACCACGGCTTGGGTGATCAAAAGGACATCTTTCCTTTTTAACACTTTACAGAGGTCTCTTGCAGCAGATTTGCCCAAGACAGTATGTTATTTGATTTCTTGACTGCTGATTCCACGGGCAATGATTATTGATCCAAGTAGAACAAAATTCTTGACTGTGTTGATGTCTTCTCCACTTACAGTCCAGTTGTCTACCTTCCTCCTGGTCACATCTCCCAGTCAACACGGTAACAGAGCCAGGTGCATTAGTTTCATACAGACTATGAGAACGTTTTGGGGCTGAAGGCATGAAGCCACTTCCCTCTGAGACACATAGCTTCCTGGTGGCATCTGCCAGCCAAGCCACTGGGGCACTAGGCAGCTCCTGTGGCTGGAGGTGCTGATTGGCCTGGCACAATGCAGACAGGCGCTCAGCCCACGGTGGGTGGTATGAGAGTGTAACGGGAGCAATCATCAACTCTTAGGAGAGTGTCCCTGGTGAGGTAGGAGGGGATCCTCTCCAGTCGCTGGCTGCGGGCCGACTTAGAGGGGTCCCCACCTGCGTGGAGGAGGTGTGGTTTGGCTGCAAGACAGCAGAGAAGTCTTGGTTTGCCTGGTGGGAGCAGGGCTGCAGTTGCTGGGGTGTCGGAGGGAGGCCAGCTGCACCCTGGACGTAGGCAGGTCTCAGGGCATCGGTCCTGGTTCCCTGGCCAGGTGCCAGGATGTGGCTCAGTGTGGCTGTCACCAGATAGCCTCACGCTGCCACTCATGATTGTCCCTTCCTCCATGTGTCGCCCTAGCGCCCTCTGCCGAGAAAGCATGGCATCGTACTCAGCGTGGAGCCCCAGGTTTATAGCAGAGTGAAATGGAAGGAGTGTTGGGAGCAGAGAGGTGTCCGGACAGCGGGCTTCCGCGTAGCAAATGCCGAGCGTCTTTGGAGTAGCCCCTTGAGCATCCCTCTGAGCCAGCTTCCTGCCAGACTGAGCGGGCCGGCTCGGCAGTGACTCATCTGCAGGAGGCATGCTGCTGGGTGCCGACTCAGGGCCAGGCAGGGTCCCGAGCATCAGAGCTGTCAGAACCGCCTCCCTGCCAGTCCCCACCCTTGGACAGTTGTTGTGGTCCAGGTCCATGTAAGCATGGTCGCAATGGCCACCGTGCTCCCCCCAGCACCAGACCTCTGGAAGAGTGGGTAGCTTCTGCAGCAGCCCTGCCCAGCCTGCTGGCTCTCGTGGATGCTCAAGGCCCAGGACAGGTACAGCCACATGCTGGGGGCTGGGCTGGCTCTCTCTTTGTACGGCAGGAACTAGCCACCACCCTGTGTTTGTTCCTCAGGTGGATTCACAGTCCCTCCCCTTCTGGCGCCAGCCCTTTGCACTTGGCCACATGCTGCCTCCTCTCTGACCTGGCCTCTCATACTGACCCAGAAGTATGTCCTCGGCCATGCAGTCCTAAGAGTTTCAGCCAGAACTGTTCATGGGTGAAATCACATGACGTTAGCTATACTATGCTATTCACTCTTTGTAGGCCTAGATTTCCCATCAAAAGAAACTTTCAGAACACGGCACATAAGGGCATCTTATCTGGGATGGTGTAGACTCACCTAACCTCTCTCGGGGCCCTGAGGATGCTGCCATGTTGCTGCTTAGTCTTGGACCTCCTTGTCTGGACCATTGGTGAGCCTGCTTCCCATCCCCAAGAGGCCGTAAGCGCTGGCAGCCATCCTCCTCCTTGCTCCTGAGTGTTTCTCTAGAAAAAGGAAGAAATTTCCATTTTTCTTCAAGTAGCTTTCACTTAGTGAATACAGCTCTTGTTCCTGGTATTTGGGACATTTGTTTGCATGCTGAGATGTAAACATTGGGTATTAGGTGTTTGGTGACATGTGTTTATTTACTGAATTCCTGACATCTCTTGGCTCAGTGACACATCCCCGTGCTGCTTTAGTGTCCTCTGTGGGCACTGGGCAGGTGGGTGTGTTCATGCTGTGATCTATCACAGCAGAAAGACACGGAGCACGACCACTGAGGGACAAGGCACACGGGGCATCGTCAGGAGGAATAGGTGCAAGCATCCAAGAGCCCTGTCCTAGCAAACCACACAGGGCACACTACATGTGATGGCACAAGAGGTGTTAACACTGGGGGCTCGTGCCAGCAGGGCCTGGAGAGGCACCACCACGCAGACTCCCTATGGCCTGCTCGGCTCTGGCTCTTTGCACTTGGCATCCCCTCCAGAACCCTGAACTGCAAGGAGCCACAGCCGTGGTATGTAGGGCG